AGGGAGTGGATCATCCTCTACAACAGTGAGTGGATCATCCTCTACAACAGTGAGTGGATCGTCCTCTACAACAGCGAGTGGATCATCCTCTACAACAGTGAGTGGATCGTCCTCTACAACAGCAAGTGGATCATCCTCTACAACAGGGAGTGGATCATCCTCTACAACAGAGAGTGGATCATCCTCTACAACAGGGAGTGGATCATCCTCTACAACAGCTAGTGGATCCTCCTCTACAACAGTGAGTGGATCATCCTCTACAACAGCAAGTGGATCATCTTCAACAGTGAATGGATCGTCCTCTATAATAGGGAGTGGATCATCCTCTACAACAGAGAATGGATCATCCTCTACAACAGGGAGTGGATCATCCTCTACAACAGCGAGTGGATCCTCCTCTACAACAGCTAGTGGATGGTCCTTTCCAGCACAGGCAAGCCACTCCATGAACCAGTAGCTGTGGCTCTCCCTGGGGAGGCTGGTGTCTGTTCCTACCGGCTTGAACTGGGTCCCTCTGTTCTATCATCCTTGTGGAGCGGGGTCCCTCTATTCTATCACTGTCATGGCCCTTTGGGGTGGTGGGTTAGGGTCTTGTGCTGTGTGGGGTGCCAAATGTCCTCTGACCCTGCTTTTCCCAGAATAACCACGCCAGGTGCTCTGGATGAAGCTGCCCACAGGGGCAGGGTAACCGCCCCCACCCCCAGATCCTCTGAAGAGAAGCTGATGACCAGGGAGAGCACCACAGCTGCCTCACTGCTCCTGGGTGGAGTGTCTTGCTTAAATGAAGCCCCACAGGCTGTCTCTCCCCCAGGAAGCCCGCATCTAGCAGCAGTGAGCGTCTCTGTGTGGGCAGAGAAGCAGGGGTCCCAGGCCTCCAGGCCCATCCTGAGCCTGCAGCGTCATGGGCACCGGTCTGTGCCCTGCCTGCTAAGCAGCCACTGTAGCCACATGCCTGGTGTGCTGGAGGCTGTGCTGTAGATGCTGCCATCATGGCCAGTTTTCTGGATTCTTCCCGCTGTCCGGATCTGACTCCAGTCCTCAGTGGTCCTGAGTGGATGAGCGCCTGGGCTCACAGAAGCTCCGGAGCTCAGGGCTCCCAGCCTCTGCCGCGTCCCCTTCTCTGTGGTGGATATGCACAGATGACTTCAGGGATCCCGGCTGCTCTGCCTGCTGGCTGGCTGTACCTCCACAGCTGTCCTTTCGTGGGCAGGTGAGGCCAGTATCTCTCAAACTCCTGGACTTCTGCAGAGCTAGAGCTTGGCATGACTGTCATCCTGTGGTGCTTCGTTCACACTCCTGGCATGTTGCTGACTATCGAGTAACTATTGAAGACACAGTTCCTGATGGGGCCCGAGGGTCTGGAATGTAAATATGAATTGTGTTCTTTTCAGGCTACAGGCCGACTGTGTGAGGCGGCTGCAGCCCGCTTCCTCGGGTCGTTCCAGAAGACGATGTGGGCGTCAGTGACAGCTCAGGGCCAGGGTCCCCGCTGTGGGGCAGCAGCAGGGTGCACACTTCCTCTCTGCTGGCTGTCAGGACACAAAATGTCCTGTGCCTGTGGCTCTTCGGATGCGTCCAGGTGCAGGGCAGACTGAGGGCCTGTGTGAGAGAGCACCTACAACTTCAAGCGCGTGATTCTTAGAACCTGTTTTGAAAAATGAAACACCAATAAGCTTAGAGCCAGGTGTCCCTTCCCCAGCCTGGGACCTTGGTGGGAGCACTGGGCTGCTCACACATCAGGTGTTCTTATAACCATCAAGTTCTGTTTGCCTTGATCAGGACCCCCAACTAGGCGCCCAGACTAGGGTGAGTTATGGTGTGAAGACAACATGGAGCCTAGGATAGTGAGGGTTGAACACAGGCAAGACTCAGAAACCCGAGGCTGAACCCCAGGCTGGCAGCGTGCCAGGCGCTGTGCTAGATGCTCTGAGCACTCCTCCCATGGAGCACAGAGCAGCCAATGGAGGAGGATGTGCCCTGGTGAACCGGCCCTATGGGAAAGAGCCCTAGTGAAATATGTGCCCCATCCAGGCCTAGAGAACCACCTGCCCGTCTATGCCTAGTGATCCACCTGCCCCGTCTGTGCCTAGTGATCCACCTGCCCTGTCTGTGCCTAGTGATCCACCTGCCCTGTCTGTGCCTAGTGATCCACCTGCCCTGTCTGTGCCTAGTGAACCACCTGCCCTGTCTGTGCCTAGTGATCCACCTGCCCTGTCTGTGCCTAGTGAACCACCTGCTAGTGACCCACCTGCCCCGTCTCTGCCTAGTGATCACCTGCCCTGTCTGTGTCTAGTGATCCACATGCCCTGTCTGTGCCTAGTGATCCACCTGCCCTGTCTGTGCCTAGTGATCCACCTGCCCTGTCTGTGCCTAGTGATCCACCTGCCCTGTCTGTGCCTAGTGATCCACCTGCCCTGTCTGTGTCTAGTGATCCACATGCCCTGTCTGTGCCTAGTGATCCACCTGCCCTGTCTGTGCCTAGTGATCCACCTGCCCTGTCTGTGCCTAGTGATCCACCTGCCCTGTCTGTGCCTAGTGATCCACCTGCCTTGTCTGTGCCTAGTGAACCACCTGCCCTGTCTGTGCGGCTCAGGTACTTGGCCCTCAGGCGTGGGGTGTTCTCACCCAGCCATACCTTCCTCTCAGCAGCTCAGCCCCATCCATGCCCAGGTTAGGACAGCCTCATGGCCCCTGCTTGATGGCTGCCCATGGTGGGGCATCCTGTCCCATCGAGGTGGTGGCACTGGCCTGGAACTCACTCCCAGCTCATACCCCTGCGTGCTCATACACCTACCACCTGTGCCCCACAATCTTTTTTCTTTGAACTGAAGAGACCAAGCAGGGACCCCAGCCACAGGGAGACCAGCCAGAAGCCCAGACGAAGCCCTGGGTGAGGGCTGTGAGGACACATTTTGGAGGAGGGGAGGAAGTGCTTGGGAGCCATTCACCTTCCTGAAAGACAGACGCTTTTAATTGTGGGACAATGAGTGGTGCATTTGGAGAATAGGACATACACATGCAGCAGTGTCTGAAGACAATTAGCTCTGGTGACCACACGCAAGCCAGCCCCTGGCTGTCACAGAGGCCCTTCATCACTGGCTGTGAGGCTCTGTGCCTCCTGCACCCATAGGTGCGCGCTCCAGGGCTGCAGGTCACAGCCGATGCCTCCTCACCCCTCCAGAGTGAAGGCACCAGGTGACAAGTGCCTCTAGTCCCCAGGCTTCTGGAGGCTCCTGTGTGGGCAGCAGGTGGGGCCCTTGTTCCTGGAAAACAGAGCAGTCTCAGGCAACAGGTGGCCACACAAAAGGCACAGACACTAGGGCTTTGTCCCACTCCCTGGGGTGTGCCTGTGTCCAGGAGCCTGGGCCAGGATGTGAGGCCCTCAGGGAGCGGCCAGGCGGCAGGCTGCACGGTGGAAGAGCACATCTGCCAAGCATCCCTGGCACACCAACGAGAGCACACAGACCACAGCCCATCGCCGGAGCTCGCCCACAGTGCCCACCGCATGTCTGTAGTGGAGTGAGGAGGCCCAGCCTGGGCGTGTGGAGTAATGCTATTCTTGTTGGTTGAGATGTGTGGGGTCATGGCAGGCTGTGGGATGTGCTGCTGTGTTTCTGTGTTGTTTTGGTTTGCTCGGGTTTCCTGTCTTGAGTATGATCAAACGGCGGCCAGAGCCGTGCATGGTGGACCTGAGGACCAGGAGCTGAGGCCCAGCCCTGCTGAGCTGCAGGGCCTGTCCACCTGCACTGAGACGTGACCCGTCCAGGCATCTGGTCTGTGGCTGGCTTTCCCAAGCACCTGTGGCTGTGCTGGGTGGTGTTCAAGAAGTCCTAGCTGGAGCTGGGAAGGTGGCTCAGTGGTAGAGCGCTTGCCTTGCATGCATGAGGCCCTGGGTTCGATTCCTCAGCACCATGTAAGCAAAAAGAAAAAAGCCAGAAGTGGTGCTGTGGCTCAAGAGGTAGAGCGCTAGCCTTGAGCTGAAGAGCTGGGGGACAGTGCCCAGGCCTACAGTTCAGGCCCCATGAAGGGACACCCCCCCCAAAAAAAAGAAGTCCTAGCTGGTGTTTAAGTTTTCTTTCATTGTCCAGAGGCCAGGTTGAGTCATAGCACGGGGAAATGCTCCGGAAGATGTCTTTTCATAGTGCCTCGGCCGAGAGAAAGATCTCAGCTATCGGTGTGAGGGTCTCAGCTCCTTCCTGGCCAAGGGCTGGGCCCAGCTCTGGTCGCCACACACCAGGGGTAGCAACAACCATTTCCCACACGCTCACTTCAGCCTATGGAAAGGGTTGTCTGCCTCTTGTTTCAAGGTTAGTTCTTGACATATCTCCATTGACTGAGGGCACGAAACAGCCTGTGGAGTGGGTGGCTCAGTGTTGAGCTGGCAAGCCATGGGGGCGTCCGGAGGCTGGCGGGTCCCCGGATGGCCCGTGCTCTCTCATCTGCCATCCACCTCTTGTATCTCCTGGCTACAACCACCCGTTCTTCATATGCTCTTTGCAGAGTGCAGATCCCTTCCTGTACCCCAGCAGCGTGGGGCAGGAGGGCCAGCCACCGTGGATGCCCGCAGTGAGGGCTCAGAGAGGTTGTGAGGCAGTGCCCCACTGCCCCTCCCCCTGACCGACAGTGGAGGCTTCCTGTGCCCCTGTGTCCCTTTCCTTTCACTCTGATGACCTCTCACGCTTCCTCTAGGAAAGGAACGTGCTGGTGATGTCTTCTGCAGAGTGGGAGTGCCTGGAAACACTGACCTCCGAGTCTGCAGTGATGTCTCCCCGGCTCAACCAGGGCCTAGCTCAGGACACACACTGGCCCCTGACCAGGGACAGGGATGCATCCACAGATCCACAGTGTCCTGTCAGGACTCAGCTCAGGATGCACCCTGGCCTCTGCCTTGGGGCACAGTTGATGTTCACAGACCCACGGCATTATCAGATGAGGGCCCAAATCAGCAACATGACCCACGTCTGATGCCCCCCTTCAACAGAGAAGCATAATCAAGCAATCTTGACAATGAGACCAGGACAAAGCCTGATCCAAAGGGACCTGAGAGGGAGGTTCTGTGGCTTCAGCTTCAAAGGCCCTGGCACTGAAGTACCTGGGTGCCCCCTGTGGGCCAGCAACTGCCATGGGCACCTTCTGAGGAGCTGGGCTGCACTATGGAGACATGCCTCCATCAAGCCCCAGGGGTTCTAGAGCTCAGACCCCGTCACAGGGTTCTGAACACCCACAGGAAGGCGTGGGCTCATGGAGTTCACTGGAGCTGAGGAAGAAGGGAGAGAAGCTCAGTCTAGCCGACTGCTATGAAGATGCCATGAATGCCTTCCAGTCACCCTCCTACTGGCACAGGATCAACCCAATCCCAGTTGACAAAGGATCAACCAAGTCCCAATCCCTGATGGCAAAGGATCAACCAA